CACCATCGGGACTTCTATCGAGACACCACCAGGCACCGCGGGACACCACGGGACACCACGGGACACCGTCGGGACACCGTCGGGACACCACGGCGCGACATTCCTGGCACCCGCTCGCCAAGCGGCCGGGGGGGACGGGGCGGACTTCTGTCCTCGCCTCGTCCTGGCTTTGGCCAGAGGAGGGTTCGTTCGTTTCGCTCGCCCGCGCGGCTTCGCGCCGCCCGCACGCGCGACACGACCCCGAAACCGAAGCCGATTTCCCACTGGCTTTAAGTCGGGCCCGTCTCTCTACAGGGGGATCTTCCAAAATAGTAAAAAATAGTCTGGGCACGATTTTTTGCTTATTTTTAGACCACTTGGATGTATCTTTTGAGTATTTGTAAGTTTTCGACCAGAAGCCCCCTGTAGGGGGACGGGCCCGACCTAACGCCAGCTCCTCGCACCGCTCTCGATCTCGCCCCCGCACCTCCGCCGTGCGCATCGCCCCCGCACGGGGCGACGCGCGCGCTCCGCAGTCCTGTCGCACGTGCAGGGTGGCGGGCGTCTTCCGACCATAGCGTGAAGTCGGGCCTGTGCCTCTGCAAGATAGTAGAGAACATAATATGGGGACGAATGTTCGACTATCTTTGAGCATTTTGGGGGTATTGTTTGTTGTGAGTATTTTTAATTTTTCGCCCAAAAAGCCCCCTCTAGGGGGACAGTCCCGACCTAACCATAGCGCTTGGGTAAAGAGATCACAGAAATCCTCAACCAGTGTTTGTGCTCAGGGAGTCTTGCTTCTTTTCTACGGGACTGGCCCCAAAAGCGACCAAACGGGCCTCTCGCGCGCGCAAGTCGAGAAACCATCCGAACGCCATTGCGCGCGTGCCAGGAGGCGCACGGCCCTTGTCAAATAATACCATGCGGGCCAGTCGCGCGCGTCGGCCGCGCGCGCATGTCAAAATTCCATATCGCACCCTTCATCGCCGACGCGTGGACATCATCATCATTGGCGTGATCAGCATCGGTGCGTTAATTTGCCTTGCCGTCGTCATCGTCAGCATCTTCATCATCATCGTGTCTACCGTTGCCGAAGTTGCCATTATACTGCGCCCACTCGAGTCTCCGACTCGCACTGGGGTGCCCGCACGTCAGCGCGGCCTGCGAGTCAGCGCCACCGCGGTCGCGTTGGTCGCGCCAAGTTAGCCGCTGTGCGCATGAGCGTGCGCTGGCTAGCGCGGCCGCAGCGACGCACCAGCCAGCACCGATCACTCATCGCAATCTCCGCCGCATGGGCTTTGCAAGCCAAGTTGCGGGTGGGTGGGTGATATGAGTTGCGCGCTCAGTGGAGTTGACTATTCCAAGATAATCGTACTTACTTGCGCAACATGACCCCCCCCCCCGAAAAATATTATGACCTCCCCTCCATCCCCCGCGGACTTGGTGCACCACTTTTTGGTACCGTCTCCATGTCTGGTTCTGCACATTTGTCCATCCTAAATATGAAGGCTTACCCTCCCAGGCTATCGCTCATAGACCCCCCATCATCTTCTGCGAAGATACAGTGTGCGCAAACTCCTTTTATTCAGCGTCGTAGGAACCCAAGAGTTCTTTGCACAAAACAAACGGCGTGCACGCGCGCGACGTCGCGCGCGCATGCTGGATTGTTCAACAATTTTGGTTCCGTAAGGATTTCAAAGTCGATTGTCGCAAGGATAGAGATCAACAGCGGGTGTTGTGAGTTCTTGAGACAGCATTTTCAAACGACAGCAACAACAGGTTCATCAAATGCTGCCACATGTGCGCGCGCAAGTCGCAATCATTCGAACGCCCTGCGCGCGTGCTATCGCAAAAACTCCTTGCAACAAGAGGGACGAAATGCACCCGCGCACGTCGCCGCGCACGCATGTAAAATCTTCCAATCACTTGGGGTTTCGGAAAGAGTTCAACACCGAGTGTCTGGGATAACATTTACAACCACTTGTTTCGCAACCAACCTTTCCCTAAAAGACCGGCGCTGGCGGTCTCGCGAAATTGTGATAAGTAAACGATCTGCTTTCCAACAATTCCACCGTATGCGACCAAACGGGCCTTTCCGCGCGCACGTGCCGAAATCATTCGAACGCCTTCGCGCGCGTGCCATTGCTCTTGCCGTCGTCATTGTCATCGTTGTCACCAGCATCGCTAATATCGTCATCGTGTCTGCCACGAGGATTGTGCCTGCCCGAGTCACCGACTCGCGCAGAAGAGCTCGCGCGTCAGCGCGGAGCGCGAGATGTGTTGGGATGGCCCCACCAGTCAGAGCCACCGCGGCCGCGTCGGTCGCGGCAGACTGGCTGGCCGCTCTGCGCAAGCCTTCGCTCCAGCGCGGCCGCGGCGGTGCGCCAGCCAGCGCGGAGCAGTCATGTCAGTCCATGCTGCATGGCTCTTGCAAACCAAGTTTCGGGCGGGTGGGTGGGATGACTGCGCGAGCAGTGGCGTTGACAATTTCAACTTAGGCAGGGTGAATTGCACCACGTAGATTCCGCTTCCCAAAGAAGTATTCGGATCTACCCCCCCGAGGATGATCCGCCCCCTTTTGGATGTGCAATTCACGCATGCCTCTGCCCCATCGTTCATTCGAGGCTTCCACTTACGCCATCCCAGCCGGCCGCCCCCCGACACTTTGCAACAAATGCAATGCGCGCGCATTTTTCGTCTTTGAAGACTTTGCAAGAGTCCCTTGCCACAAATGGGACGAAGTGCGCGCGCGCGTCGTCGCGCGCGCATCCCGAAATCATTCAAAAACAGAGGGGTTTCGCAGTCATGTCGAAATCGAGTGTCCCGAGTACAAACATCAATGGTTTCGCAGCCAAACTGTTCCAAAACACATGCGTTCGCGCTGTTGTGAATCTCAAGAACTCATGCTCATCCAATGTGACCAAACGTGCCCCTCGCGCGCGCATGCCGAAATCATGGATTCTGCCAGGCGGTTTTCTTGTTTTGGTGGATAGATTCGTCTGCGTTCGGATAACATTGCGATGATGTCTCAGGCGAGGCTCTGGTTCCAGCACCCCAAGGGGGGTGGCGCCAGGGGGGTTTATATCACGGGCCCGTTCGCGCCCAGATTGTGAAGAGGTCTCAAGCGGGTCGCTGGCTCCAGTGCCCATGGGGTTCAGACTGTGGGGATGTGAGGCGGTTTGCCGGTTTCTGCCCCCAAGGCTTGTATTTGGATTTGTGTTGCTGCGACGCCTCTAGACTTCATTCACTACTCCTTCGCCTCTTTTGCTTTCAATTCAGGCGCACTCACATTCAGATCTACTACTCACCACCACACAGGCTCACTCACCACCCCCAGACTCATTCATAACCAGACGCACTCATACCCAGGCTCACTCATCCTTAGACTCACTCACATCCAGACTCGCTCACACTCAGGCTCACTCACATTAGGACTGATTGTTGACGCTTCGCGTACCCCCACCAGCCCATCCAGAAACGATGCCCAGGAGAGTTGTGGTGACGAGGGATTTGTAGGAGCAAGGTCGGGGACAGCCATCATCTGTCGAATGATGAGGAAGAAGAGGGGGAGGATGGAGGAGTACATGGAGGAAGAGGAGGAGATATGAGGAAAAGGAACAGGCATATGAGAAGCAGGAGGAGGACAAAGGCGAGCAGAAGGCCAGAGGTTTCTTGGATGCCCAGGAGCTTCGCTTCTTTGGAGGCCTCTTAGGCCGTCTTGGATGCCTCTTGGCGGTCTCGGGGGTCCCTTGGCGTCTTGGGTACCTTTGAAGGATGCCTCTTGAGGCCTCTTTGGGCCGTTTAGGCACCTCTTGGGGGCCTCTTGGGGCTTTGTTGGGAGCCATGATGGCCCTGTAGAACATCGATCACAAGAGGGGATTCCTCAATTAGCGGCGCCCCTCTAGAGCCTCTACAATCGCCTCTTGTGGCCCTTTCGGAGCGCTCTTGAAACGCTCTTGGGCGCTCTTGGGGCCGTCTTGGGGGCCCTCCTGGGCCTCTCTTGGTGCCCTTTTGGGCCATCTTGGAGCCATCGGAAGCGACACGACGAGAAAGCAACACCCAAGGGGAGACTCAGTACTGGTGCGCGCGGGCATGCATTGGGCTGCCAAACGCGAACATGCTAGATTATCAGCCGCCCCCCCCCCGCTCCCCCCTCGGATGACCCGAGCTGTCGCTGAAATAACAAAACGATCTCCCAGAAATGACGACGGGGCCACTGCGACGTCGTAGCGGAACGGGCACAGTCAAGACGCTAAAACAAGGACTTCTGTGGATTCGGAAAGGGCTCGCAGCTCCTCAGGTCATCCCGTGGTTGTTCCTCTAGTTCTCCTCGCGCACCGGGGCTCGTTTGGGGCCAAACGGGTTCGATGTCTGTTCACGGGAGCCTTGGGCGGCGACGTTGAAATCAGCTTTTCCTGCATCTGGGCCGCATTGTGACCGCATTCGGTTCTTCCTCCTGCTGCTCCTCGTTCTTCCTGTTTCCCCTCCTCCTCCTCCTCCTCCTCCTCCTCCGCCTCGTTCTTGTCGTCTCCCTTGTTGTGAAGGGGCGCATCTCGTCCAATTCTGGTCCAAATATCTGGTCCGAATCAGGCCCAAATCGGACAGCGCCGGGGGCCTCGGCCTCGCGGGCCCCCCTGAAACGAGCACCAAAGGCAGGGGCTTCGTTCCCTCTCTACAGTCAGCCCGCATAGTAAGGATGGGCAACCTAAAAAGATGTATAAAAAATATAAAAAAAAATATATATATATATAAAAATAGTAAGGATGGGCAACCTTCCCAAGGGTACCCCTGCATCCCTGCCTCCTCGGTCCATCCTCCGCCGCTTTCGCTGGCCGCGCCCCGCTGGAAGAGCTCCGAGATGGGCGTCCAAGGCCCTTGCATCCTTGTCGCGCAGCCCCGCTATGCTGGTCGCCTGTAGCGTCACCTACACTTCCGCAGCCCGACGACCTCTCTGTCGCCCCAGGCGCCGCCCCCGACGCCTGGTCTGGCGACCGGCTCGCTGCGGAAGAGCAGGCGCCGCCGCGGGGCGGGCCAGAGCGGGGTTCGGAGGGGAGGGAGGGAGAGGAGAGGGGAGGAGGGGGGGGGGTCGGGGGGTCGAGGAGGAGGAGGAGGAGGGGGGAGGGAAGAGGGGGGAGGAGGAGGGAGGACGAGGAGGAGGAGGGGGGGGAGGAGGACGAGGAGGAGGGAGGAGGGGGGAGGGGGGGGGAGGAGGAGGAGGAGGAGGATGAGGATGATGATGATGATGATGATGATGAGGAGGAGGAGGAGGAGGAGGAGGAGGAGGACGAGGACGAGGGGGAGGAGGTGGACGGGGAGCAGGAAGGATCAGGATCGAGGCTTTTGGACGTTTTTGACCTTCTTGGGCTTTCGAGGCCTCCCTCCAGAGACCTCTAGAGATGTCTGCATGGCTTCTGGGGTCCCACGGGGACCTGCGCAGACTCCAGAGTTATAACGCCCCGGGCAGGCGTGCCGTTAACTGGGCGGGGGGAATTCGAAGCATGGCAAAAGTGTGATTTCAAGGAAAAACGGAAGTACGAATGTAAGTTGCGCAAAACATGGGAGTAGGAAGAAAAATGATAAACATAATACATATGTTCGAAACAATAGTTTGGGGAGAATGGGCGCATGGGAAAAGTTTGAAACACGTATGGGGGTGGGAGTGGAAATATTTGAAATTATGCAGGGGGGATTGAAGCATGCAGCAAAATATGAAACCAGTATAGGAACACGCATGCACGACGTAGGCAAACTATGGCAAGTACGAACATTACATGAACCATAGGGACCACGCCTGTAGATGTTTGAAAGAGCGCGTTCTGTGGTTGCTTGGAGGGGGGGGGGGGTTGGAACCGGACACCCCCCCCCTTCCCGTGATGGAGAAGGGGGGAGGTTCGAACCCCCCCTCCCTCTCGTGACGGAGGGGGGGGGTTCGAACACCCCCCTCCCCCGCTTCCCCACTCCTCGGGCCGGCGCTGCGCTTGGGTCGGCGGCGGCTGGCGACGGCGGCGGGGACGATGATTTCCATTTCTTGGCCGGCGCCGGCGCCTGTGGCGGCGGGCGGCGGTGGCGGGGAGCGTCGACGAGGACGACGGTGGTGGTGGTGGTGGTGGTCGTGATTGTGGTGGTGGTGGCGCGGTGGTTTGTTGTGGTGGTGGTGGTTGTGGCGGTGTGTGGAGGTGGTGGTGGTGGTGGTGGTGGTGGTGTTTTTTTGGTGGTGTGGTGTTGGTTTGTGGTGGTGGTGGTGGTGGTGGGTTGTGGTGGTGACGGTGGTGGTTTGGTGGTAGTGTGGTGGTGGTTTGTGGTGGCGGTGGTTGGTTGTGGTTGTGGCGGTGGTTTGTGGAGGTGGTGCTTGTGGTGGTGGTGGTGGCGGTGGTGGTGGTGGTGTGGTGGTTTGTGGTGGTTGGTGGTGGGTTGTGCTGCTGGTAGTGGTGGTGGTTGTGGCGGTGGTGGTGGTGTGGTAGATTGTGTTGGTGTTGGTAGTGGTGGTGGGTTTTTGTGGTGGCGGTGATGGTGAGTTGTGGTGGTGACGGTGGTTTTGGTGGTGTGGTGGTGGTTTGTGGTGGTGGTGGTGGGTTGTGGTGGTGACGGTGGTTTGTGGACGTTTGTTGTGGTGGTGGTGGTGGTGGCGGTGTTGATGGTGGTGGTGTTGTGGTGGTTTGTGGTGGTGGCGGTGGGTTGTGCTGCTGGTAGTTGTGGTGGTTGTGGCGGTGGTGGCGGTGTGGTATATTGTGTTGGTGGTGGTAGTGGTGGTGTTTTTTTTGTGGAGGTGGTGGTGGTGATGGTGAGTTGCGGTGGTGGTGGTGGTTGTGGTGTTGGTGGTGGCTGTGGTGGTGGTGGTGGTTGTGTGGTGTTGTTGGTGATGGTGGTGGTGGTGGGTGGAGGCGGTGGTGGTTTGTGGTGGAAGTGGTGGTGGTGGTGGTGGTGGTACTGGTGGTGATCGTCGCTGCGTCCGCGCCGTCGCCGGCGGCAGCGCCTGCGCTGCTGGCCGCCGCCAGCACCGGCGCCGAGGGGGGGGGGGCTTTTGAACCCTCCACCCGCCCGCTTGGGTGGCGGGGGGGGGCGGGTTTGAACCCCCCCCCTCAGCGCCGGCGCCGGCGCCGAGGGGGGGGTTGGGGGGGGAGGGGGGTCCCACTGGTTTTGATTGACGGCGCCGAGTGTTGGGGAGGCCCCCCCCGGGTTTGAAACGCGCCGCCGAATGTTCCGAAGGCAAGCGCACATGAAACGCGTGCACTCAGATGTTCGATCAGAGATGGATATAGTTAATGTCAAGTCTTCTTTTATAACAACTTTACATTTTTTGTTTCGCTTTCTGTTGCTTCGGTAATCCAATGTTCTCCGTGCTCCGTATCGCCAAACGTGTTCCACGTTTGTTGTTGCAAGTTGCCGTGGCAGCTAACGCTTGTCTCGTTTGGGTTGTTCTCCAGCCTTCTGGCCGCGAGTTCTAGTGTGTGCAACAATCGCACGGGTGACGGGCGGCTGCTTTTTGAAAGCGAGTTTCTCGCCAGATGAATCTTCGCATGCGAGTGCAGGGGGCGCAACGTTATGGAACAGCCGTCTGGATTGAAGACTGATCCTTTTCAAAACGGGAGTTCGCCTGAGACTTTTTCATCCGCGAATTCCAAATTTCGATTGCTCGTTCAGCGCGCGCGCGGATGGGGCTCGCTTCAATTTCGTTCCAATCTCATTCCAGGAAGCTAGCATTTATGTGGGGCTCACATTTATAAGGGGGGCTCCTCTGCAAAAACAGGCTTCTTCATGAAAGCCTGGCCCCCGGGGCGCCTGTCTTCCATGGGCTTTCGATTCAGGGGCGCGCGCCCAGCTCTGGAAAGGAATGCTTGCGTGGCTTATGGGGGAAGGGCGGCGAACCGGTCAGCGGGGCCGACCCCTCGAGAGGACCTCGAGAATCGGTGAGGCTGGGCGGGCTTCTAAGAAGCCCCTGCCTTCTTGGAGAGCCTGGCGCCTGCCTGCAAGCCAACCTCTCCTCGCGCCGCCCTCTTGCGGGCGCCGCCAGCGGCCCGTCTCCTCGCGCCGCCCCCCCCCCCCGCCCCGACGCCAACGTGGCCGGCGGCGCTCCTCTCGCGAGCGCGCCCGGCGGAGGCAGGCGAGCGACGCGGGGGGGGGTCGGTGGGCGCGGGGCGAGATCGCGCCGATCCCGCGGAATATCGCGGAACCCCTCGGCGCGGAAACCCATGGATCCGCGCCGGGCCCCCCCGCGGAGCCCGGGGGATTTCGCTTGGCCTTCCCGAGAGATCGATGCGCGGATGCCGCGGAATGCCATTAACTTCAGCAGGAGAAACAACAAAATCCGCAGCGCCCCGCGGGCCCCCCCGGCGGATGCGCGGAGTCCACGGAATCTCTTTCTAGGGAACCAAGCAGAATCCACATGTTCTCGCGGAATCTGTCCGACGGACGCGCGGTGCCCGCGGGCCCCGCGAAATCTTTGCCGGGGGGCCGCGCGGAGTCCGCGGGGCGGGGCCCCGCGGGGTCTCGCCGACGGCGGATGCGCGAAATCAGTGGAATCCCAAGGAATATGCGCTAGGGCTGCTAGGGCCCTAGCGCCCGGGGGCGCGCGGAATCGACGGGCGTTCGCTGCGTCTTGGGCGCGCGGAGCGCGCGGGGCCCCGCGGAACTCGCGTTGACCCCCCCCGCGGAATCCGCGGAATCTCATGGATTCCGTCCTGCGGATGCGCTGATTCTGCGGAATTGAAAAGAGGTTGCGCCGCGGGGCCGCGCAGAATTCCACTGCGCCCGCCCGGCGGATGCACGGGCCCAGAATCCCCGTTTAAGGACAGAAGCGCACGGAGCATCGATATTGATTGTTCCAAGGGTTCCAGGTTCTCCCGTCCTTCCGCCGCGGCTCCAGGGGCGAATGGTCGAGCGCATTCCGTCGCGCGTGCTCCCCGCGCGACGTGCGCGGTGCATTTTTCGCGCGTCGGGGCGCCCTCGGAGATTCCATGCTGCATTCTGTCTTGCTCTTGGGGAGTCCGCGAGTCGCCGCTGCCGTGCCGCGATTTTCGAGGCGGCCCCTTCGAGTGCTGGTCGCGGGCGCAGGGCGCGGCGCGCGCCGCGCCCAATCGCGCGCGGCGCGGCGCGTGAATAATTTCCGGATTGCACGGCGCCTCAAGAAAGCGCTGCCGTTTTCTGGGGGGGGGGGGGCAGAAGCGGTTCCGGAATTTTTCAAGACGGGGTTCGGGCGTTATATATGTAGATACAAACAATAACAATAACAAGCTAGCAGTTTTGAGGGGTGGAATGCCCGCCGCGCAGGACATTTGAATACATTTCAAATCCATGAGTTTGCAACGTGGGTTCCAGAATTTTTCAAAATCGACACCGGAATTTTGCGAAATCGTTTTGCCCCGCAAAAAATCCTGCGCGCGACAACTCGATCGCGAATTGGCGAGTGACCAGCGGCGCCAGGCCGAGTGGGCAATATTCGACGCAGGGTGTGCCCCGCGCAAAGGCCTGTAGAAATCCGATTGAATCCCCGGAACACATCAATCGCACATTGCGTCCATAGTTTCGTCTCGTCCTATAAGGGGGCCCGCCTGATCCGCAGAGCCAGCCGGCCGCGTGGCCGTTTATTCCACGACGAGACATCGTCATCTTCGACGCGTGAGGAAAACGCCGGCGGATGCCAGCAGCGATTCTGAGTCAAGGGCAAATCCTTCGCGCTGCGTTCAAGTTAGAGATCACGCAGGGCGCCACCGCTGATAAACTCTGTAGCGCCGCCTCGCGGCTTGAGAGCGCGGCGCGCCGATGGCCCGGGAGAATTCGCCTGCGCGCCGCGCGAGGGGGGGCAGCGGGCCGTGAATTTCACGACGGAACACAGCCATCTTCGACGCGCGATGCTGACGCCAGCGGACGCCAGCAACTATTCTTAGTCGAGGACAGAACCCCTTGCGATCCAATCAGAGCGCGGGGCGCCGCTGCTGATGGATGACGCCTGTCGCGCCCCCCGTGGGGTTGGGGGCGCGTGGCCCTCTGGCTCGGGGAAAAATCGCTCGCGCGCCGCGCGACA